ATCGACAAAATCATCGCCAAAAGTAATGGCAAACTCTCGGAACCGGTAGACATGAAACGGATTACCGGAGCCTTTGTTATGGAGTCTATAATACAAGTGGCTTTCGGCCGGAAAGTGTCGGCTCTGGACGACCCAAATAACCCAATCATAGAAAATGCGCGCAATATGTTCAGCACAAGTTTAGTTGCCTTAATGAGAATGGTCACAGTAATGATTGCACCAAAAGTGGCTAAAATGTTCAAGATAACTATATTTAATAGTAAAGTTTCGACATTTTTCCGCGATTTTACTCTTAATTTGATCGACGATAGGAAACGCCTTTTGGAAACCGGAAGTCCTGTAAATAGGGTTGACTTTTTGCAACTAATGTTGGATTCAAAGAGAGATAATAATAATGAGGCGATCGATGGGTCCGACGAATATACGGATAGTAAGAGTGCAGAGAAATATCGGGAAATACAGGCCACGGATGATATGACCGATAAAAGTGAGTATTAATTAGTTTATAAACGATTATTGAATTTATTTTATAATTTATTGAATAGAACTTAATGAATACGGTTTTATACATATTTATAGGCCTTTCATACGATGAGCTCATAGCCCAATGTGTGGTGTTTTTAGTGGCCGGGTATGAGACCACTGCCGCCACTCTATCCACGTGTTTGTATGCAATCGCTAAACATCCAGAAGTCCAACAAAAACTGTACGAAGAAATTAATAACTTTCATGAACAACAACAGGTTTAAATATATTATTTTAAAGTTATATATGCCATAATTTTTTATATTAAATACTAATAATATTTAGTTACGCTTTAAATACAATAGATTAATGAACAGAAATAAATAATAAGTAACTAGTGCATTTAATAACCCTGAAAATAATTCAGAGATATTTTAGGTAGCAGTTCTAATCAAATTTATTATGATTAGAATATTTTCATGCATATCAAATTGAAATTTGCAGTTTTTACATTTATTTACAATTTAGGTAAAAAGTTTTAAAATATCATATTATTTATAATTTAAATCCTAATATAAAAATTAATTTTAAAAATTTTCATAAAAATTAAACAGAAATCAAATGCCAATCCGTACGAAGCGTTTCACGCATTGAAATACATGGACGCAGTCATCGACGAAACCCTACGTCTATACACAGTCGTTACATTCCACGAGAGGGTCGCTAATGAGGACTACGAGCTTAAAGGCACCGGTATTACTATCAAAAAGGATCAAGTGGTGCACATCCCTATCTATGCCATACACAGAGACCCGGAACACTTTGCTGACCCGGAAGTGTTTAGACCGGAAAGGTTTTTAGCGGAAAATATAGCCCACAATCCCTATACGTATTTGCCATTTGGTGCCGGCCCTCGAAACTGTCTGGGCATGCGATTGGCTCAGTTGGAGATTAAATTAGCCCTGGTCAATCTTGTTCATCGATATGTTTTTCACGCAACAGAGGTATTATATTTTACAATTATATATAGTTTTATAAATAATTTTCTTTAATTATTGACAATCTTTGTATTTTCAGAAACCATTGGAGCAAGGTGTTTCCGGTTTTATGATTATACCAAAATCAGTGGATTTGAGAATTGAGAAACGAACACAATTTGTAAAATGACCATATTGATTTTAATTAATTATTTGTAAATATTTTCAAAACATCTTGGACAATTTAAACCAACATTACTGCGATTAATTTGTAAACTTTTATTATTAATAATTTAAATATAATACTAATATATTGGCATAAAATGAATATTAGAGCAAAAACCAAATAATAAAACCAAAACTAGTCCCTGAATTCAAGTAATATAAAAATCAATAAGTTTGTTTCCAAAAGTGTTTTGAAAATACAGTAATTATCAATAAATATGACAGGCTAAATTTAAGCAATTAATAATTTACAATATTAATTTTATTTTATTTTACTAGTTTTATTGACTTTTTAAATTATTTACATTATTAAATTGTTATTAAGTTTTAATTAAAATTTAATAAAATAGTGTTCCGATTTATTATACAGTAATAGTAAGCTAGTAATAGTACAGTAATTGCCTACTCATTAGAATTGTACATAATTTAAATTTATTTTTATAATCTAGCCACTAGTTTTAATAAATAAATCGTGTAACAAAATATCGGTATAAATAAACACATTTCTAGTAAATAATGGCAATTATAGTAAATAATTGCAGCATAGCAATTTCTGTATTAATTACACTAGTATCATTTAGTGAAATTAATAGTCAAGCTCCCATTGAAGGAGGTGTACAAGTAAATTTCAATGGTCATTCTCAGTCTAATGCTGGTAAGTGTCTAAAAATAATTAAAATGGTTTTAATTAGTGTCTACAAATCCCTTATCCATAATACTAGTAGATAAAAATGGGACAGGGCTAAACTTAACAAATACTGGAACAGTTAAGCAAGGTTTGTCCAGACATTTTAAAAATTATTTAATTTTACATAAATACCTTATAAAATTTTATTCTTATTATTTGTTTCAACTTATAATTTAAGTGTGCTTGATATAATAATAACAACACTTATAAATTAGTAGACATCATTATAAATGATTGTGAAAAACTAATTATTTATTGGCAAACTTAATTACATAAATATTAACTTTATTTTTACTTATATTAATTATAAAAACTACTTTTTTCTTTATAAATATAAAATAAGGTTGTTAACTATTATTCTTGCTAAATATTATGTTTAACTTAGATCCAAAAATTAACCTAGCAAGATTTAAACAATTTTATAACTATATTGTACACAAATATTTTGGGTCTCATGAAAAGTCGCCACAGGGTCTAAAAAATTATTACAACCAAACAATAACTGCGATTAATACTTCGCCCCATGAGGTTAATATCCAGCAATTGTTCCAGGGCACTATTATGGTGGCCAACAGGTATTTGTCTGTAGAAATGAAAATAAATATGCAATTGGCCATGGTGGGAACACAGGGAGCTATTTCTGGTTCATTGAAACTTGGAGTTGATGGGGGTGATAGTGTTAGTGCGGCATTTGGTAAGTTTAACATCCTTGTTAACATGTTAAGGTTAATGTTATACGTATTTTTGTGTATATTCACCTAGATACGAAGATTATATTGCACAAATTCAAATTCTTTTACGATAATGTTGTGTTCAAATTCTTTGGTCCAGGAAATTCCAAAAAAGTGCCCAAGGTCCTTAAAACATTCTACAATGGCAGTGTTGGCCTAATTAAAAAGAAAGGTACCAAGATCGACCTACAACAATTGTTCAAAGACACAATTGTGTTGGCTAATAACTATGTACCTGATAAATTTAAAATAAAACGTGAGAAAATTAACGATGTAGTAAAGACCATGGCGGCACGTGACCCTTTTCCAAATG